ATCAACATTAATTACAATTCGACCTGAATATTATGATAGATTTGATGGAATTATATTAAGAATTATTTATCTTTTACCAAGGTAGAATTTCTTCATATGTAGAGATTAATAAATATTTCGATTGAGTTTAGTTTATGTAAAATGAATGTAATTCCATCTCATGTTTTAATTGAGGCATTGGCAACAATGAAACATGCTCAGAGTATGTTTTTTTATGCAATTGATTTTATTGTAATACTGACAAAAAACATTTTTCTCGTAGATTTAACAATTCTGTTTATTGATTCGGATTTATTTCCAACATTTATTGATAAAAATGTCATTGTCTCGAATGAACTTGATCCGGCAGCACGGTAAATTCAAATTATGATTAGTACTATTATTATTCTGATTTTCTTTGAATAGTTTACCAGAACTTGATAGTGCATTTTTGGGTCGATTAGAAATAATGTGTAGTGAAAATCAACTAGCTGATGAATGGATTCCAGTATTTATTAAATTACTTGAAGTTACAAGAGATACAATTCATGTATAAAAATTTATTTTAATAATTAATCAATATATTTATTATTATCTTATTATTTAGATTAGTGAAACAGCTGATCGTTTTCGTGCAACAATTTTTCATTTACTTTTTTCAACATTACCAAAATCAATAAAAATAAAACGATGGTTACCAATACGAGAACAATGTTTGAGATTAATATGGACTGTTATTATTCGTTGTCTAGCATCATCAGTTAAAATATCACCAGAGAATGAACAAATCAAGTTTGTATACATTATTAAAAAATTCGCTAAAACAAATCTTTTCATTTTCTAGATCACCAATTTTTATATTTGGTTGGTTACAACATCCATCTGTTAGTCAAACATTACTTCAATGTGCTATGCCGTCAGATACAGACTCAATGTATGTTTAACCAAATCTTACTTTTCTTTCTCTATGAATAAATTTTTAGGTTAGCGGATCCGATATATCAATCATGTTTACAAAATGCTATGTCAATAATATCCTCTTTAATTGATTATCAAGTTGAAAATTCTAATCAAACAACAAATAATCCATTTGCATCAAAATTATTAATTAAAGTTTGCATTGATTTTTTATTACAACATATTAATGATATAAAAGCACCAATTTGTCTACGATGTTTAACAAGTTTAGCTAAAGTGAAGATATATTATTTGAAATTTTCTTCTATAAATTAGAATTTATTTGATTTAGATAACACCTGGACTTTCAATTTTATTAGAAACAAATATTGAACGATTTCGAACATTTATTATACAAAATATAAAAAATCGACAAGTAAATTATTCAAAAATAACAAAAGCAAATCTTATTATTCTGTTTTTTAGTCTCCTGATCTAACAATGGCTATTTTAGATTTTTTAATCGTATGTGTTAATTCTCAATCAGCATTACTTGGTTATTTATGTGATATAAATACAACACCAACAGCTACATTTGGTAATTCAACAATTTTACAACCAATTGTTGAATTACTTCGATGGAGTACACAAAATACAAACGATGTTGCTGCAAGTGATCTATTTATATTAACTGTTACATTTATAACACAATTTTGGGAGCAACATACGCAATTACTTGTAGATTATTTTGTTAAAATGTAAAAGATTTATTCAATTCAAAAATATTTATTTATTTGTTTGTATTATAGAAATGATTTTTGGAAAAATATATCCATACCAATCACAACTACAAGTGTACGTATTGAATTAATGGATACAGGTGATAAACGAGCTGTATCAACTTCATTTCGTTTACTTACACAACATCTACTTAATTATACAACGTAATTTTTGTAAATTCAACGAAAAACAAATAGAAATTTTTTTTAAATAGGGATCAAACTGGAAATGATTTTTATGATATATTAAATAAATTAATCAGTGATAATTGTTTACTTCATTGGATTAAAGTATAATGAATCGATAGAATTTAATGAATAGTTAACACTTGAAATATTTTAGGCATGTCGAACATTTTTTCAAGCAAATATTGAAAATGAAATGTTAAATGAACAATCATTATCATTTTCATTTTTTTCATCTGTTATTTATTTTACAAAAGCACTTCTTTGTTTAAATGTAAGGAATTTCGAAAACTCTAATTCAAACAGACTTATTAATATTTAATAGAATGAACGTATCCGAAAGATTTTACCAGGTGGTGAAACTTGGCTTGAAGAATTAGCATCGATTGTTCAACTTGTTTTAACTCGAAATGATTCGACATGTATGAAAATAGCTGTGATGTGTCTTAATTTAACAATTAATGCTAATATTAAATGGAAAAAGTAAATCTTATTCGTAAAAATAAAATAAATATATAATTTCTTTTATAATAGTGATAAAATTCAATCACCATTGAATATTCTTCCAACTTATATTAATCTAGCTAATTGTGTTCTTGGATCGGAATATGTTTCAATCTATGTTAAATATTGTTATTTAGATGCACTTGTTTTATTAATTCAAACATTTCTTGAATGGACACCTGGTAAGAAAAATCGTTATTTATTATATTTTGAATCTAGATTTCGTTTTTTTGCAGATATTGATCAGCAACAATATGAATTAACACGATATTCTACTGTTCTTACACATTTATTAGATTTTGTAGATTATTGTAATGATATCATTGATATTCATCCATCAACAACACCTCAATATAAATGCGCTGTTAAAGTAATTTTTCGAAAAAACTTCTATTATTTTATATATTTCTCTAATTAGGCACTTATTCATACATTTCATTTATTATCAATATTTGTTTCTAAAGAAGATTCACCAAATTTATCAATAAATCTAAAACAAGAACGTACAGTAACAAATATTATTGATCTATTTCATAAAGTTTCACAAGTAAAAATTTCATTATTATTTTTTCTAAAACCAAGAATTTTCTCTCCATCTTAGGAACGTGATAATTTTCGTGTATGTTATACGATTTTAAGTTTTCTATATGATTTAACAAAGAAAACTGATAGTATTCAATGGTTTCATACAATGAATATTATACCACGTACACTACATACATTTCGTTATATTATTCAACAACAAATAAATAATTCCAATGAAGATGCGGTATCGCAAACGAATTGGTCAAAAGTTATACGTCTTTATTTACTTTTAAATATTTGTCTTATTCATGCTGAATGTATTCATGGAGATTATCGACATTTTAATAATGCATCAGATGTATTTGCAGCTTGTAGTGAATATATTGTTGAAGTAGGTAGAAAAAAAACGAAACGTTAAATATTAATGTTTGTCTTTGTTTAGAGTTTTCATAATGTAACAAGACAGTTTTCATTAATATCATTAGATAATGCTGATGTATGTTGTCAATTTTTTGCATGTTTAACTCAATTTTATAATCAATTAATGAGTAAACATCATAAGGAAGCATGTATTTGTATTGTAAGATTAAATATATAAATTTTGTTTTTCGAAATATGTAATAAAATAATATTTCTAGGCAGCTGTTAATTATCTTCTTCATGATTCAATTAATCTTCTTCTTCATTCAGCACTTGTACATAATATGTTAACAGTAAGAAATTTAAATAAAATAGAATAATTATTATATTTTTCTATTAGAAAAAAGTTCGTTGTGCATATCGATCTGAATTAGAAAATCAAGAAAATATTGTACCTGATTATTCATTATCACAATCGACATTAATGGATCATTCGCAATTATCTCAACGTTCTTCATTACGAACAACGACAATATCAACATTTTTTAATCAATCAACATCATCACCATTACCGACAAATATTCCTCCTGTAACACCAAGTGAAGGTACACCAAAACCACGATTAGTTAATGTTCGTCAACAAGTTGCTGCTGCTTCTGCTCAACCAGCTAGTTCCCAAGCACCTGATTTTGAACAAGTTCAAGTCGGTTTATTACGACTTTTATGTACTTGTTGTTGGGCACTTCGTCCATGTACAATTCCATTGAATGAATTAAATGAATCATTACTTTATAAACAAACAATTGATTATGATTCATTTAAATATTTAGTTGAACCATTATTTAATACACCAACATTAGAACGACGTACAACACCATCATTTGGTACTTGGCTTACAGGTGCTCAATATATTGTTACACAAATGGAACGAGTATACTATATTTTATAGTTTTATTTTTGCAAAAATTTTCTTCGTTTTTAGTTTAGTCTTATTAAAAGTAATTCACCACGACCAGCACGAATAAAAGAAAGTGATCTTGAACGTTTAGTACAACAAAGGTTAATTGCAAAATAGTATGTTTTGTATATCATTGATATTTTCTGTTTCTAGACCATTTCTTGTACTTGCACTTGAACATTTATTAAGTCTTATTCTTTCACAAGTACCACTTTTTATGCGATCAACACTTCTAACTGAAACACAAAAGAATATGATGAAACAAACATTATCACTTGAATTAGTATGTTGTTGTTATTATTCTAAAAACAAATGAAGAGGGAAAACATTTTATTTTTTAGGATTATATCTTTTCAAATCTTAATTTAACTGAACGAACATCAAGTGCAAGTGGTGGTGGTAGTGATCCTAATTCTCAACGAACATCAGTTAATATACCTACACCCGGTACTATTGCTGGTCCAACAAGTCATAAATCACTTGTTATGAGTGTATCAAATATGTCACATCCGTCCGGATCAATAGCACGTGAAGCTTACACACCATTTTCTGTTGGGACAAATGTAACATGTTCAGGTGCATCTGAATATAATAATTCAACACATTTAAAAGATGTTTGTACATCAATTTGGAAACTTTACAAACGAATTATTCAAGTTGATCCAATTGTCTTTATTGGTTAAAAACAAATTTAGAAAAATTAAACATTCCTTTTCTTTTTTTTCACGTGTGGATTTGTATAGAAAACGTTATTAATAAATCATGAACATCATCGATTAGATGAATAAAATTATTTTCTTTCTCTCTTTCAGATGTCAGGTCCAATGTCAGCTTTTGCTCGATATTCTCAAGAAGAAAACTCATCATCACCTCCTCAAACTAATTCTGTTTTACCAGCATCTCGTAAACGTAAACGTGTTTCAGTTATAAATACAAATGGTCATTCAAAAGAAAATCAACCAAATAAAAATCGATCAAAATCACTTCAACCTTTAATAGCAATTTCTGAAACAAATGGTCAAACACATCGTATTGAACAGCCACAAAATACAATTAAAAAATTGAAAAATTTCGAAAAGAAATTTTTATCACCTGCTTATCCAACACCCTATCCTCAACGTCAGGTGATTGTTTCTGAATCTCATCAATCATCATCTGACAACTCAGATGAAATGGAAGAGGATGAAGATGACGATGAAGATGTTGAAGAAGATCAATCACCTTTATCAGCTTGGCTTCATGATCATGTTCCAATCGATGATAGTACTCTTCTTGGTCAACATGTATTCAGTTTACTTATTGATCCTATTCCATTAAAACAATTTGCAAAACGAACATGGCAAAAAGAAGCATTACATATTTCACGTAAACAATCAACATATTATAATGGATTATTTTCTACTAGTGATATTGATGATATTTTACGAGAAAATATACTTGAATATGGTGATAATGTTGATTTAACTTTTTATAATCCACTAACATCTAAAAAAGAACGACATAATCCAGCTGGTCGTGCTCGTCCAGCTGTAGTCTGGGATTCTTATAATGAAGGATGTTCTGTTCGTATTCTTAATCCACATACATATTCAAAAAATATTTGGAAATTATTATCATGTCTTCAAGAATTTTTTGGTTCACTTGTTGGTGCAAATACATATTTAACACCACCTGGATCTCAAGGATTTGCACCACATTATGGTATAAAAACAATTCATTAATATATTTCTATATGAATATTCATGAAACTTTTGTATTTTATAGATGATATTGATGCATTTATTCTTCAACTTGAAGGAAAAAAACA